CATCTGGGGTTCCGTTTTCACCAAGAAGGACAAACCTTTGTTCTTCTCCCCGACTAGCAAGCATGTTGTTCTCCCGTGGACTGGAAACAGGTACTCAATCATTGCGTATACTCCTCATGGATTTCCCCAAATCAGTTCGACACTGTCTCAGCAGCTACAACACTCGGGCTTCAGGCTAAGCCCAACTACTGGCTCGCCGTCTGCTGCAGCCCGGCCTACGCCGAGGCCGGCTGCGCCCAAAGGTGTCGTACTTGTGTGTGGGGATACGTCCGTGCCCAAGCTTCACGGAGTTACAATAGTCAATGTCCATGAGTTAACCGAAAACGAAGCCTACCGTACCGTCAGACAAGTCAAAACCCTCTGCGACGAGGGGGGAAAGGTACTTGTTTACGCGTCGCTGCCGGGTCAAGGCAGTGATAAGTGCTTTCGTTCGGTTAGGACCATTTCACGTTTGCTGAAAAATTACCGCATTGATGTTGTTTTGCATGTGCATGATTCTGTCAAAAATGAAGGTCTGCACAACTTTATGACACTTCGATGCCCACATCAGTTTGCACGCATTGGACATGATATTTTCATGTGCTCGTCTGCAGGGTTTACAGCAGAGACCAAGGTCAGAAACGAACCAGACGCGGTGCATGATCACAGCACTAAGGACGGCATCATCCAGAGCATCATTCATTCATGGAAGAATGGTAAGCTCCACAATGTACGCCCAAAAGAAGTTGTAGACCTAAGTTCTCTTGCCTGCCCCTGCATTGCGGGTCGAAAGACCACGCCGAGCACAATGTCCGCCGCTCTCTACCTGAAGGGCGACACCCCGCGTGAGGACTGTGCCTCATGGTGGATTGGCTCCTTGTGGAGGGCTGTGTTTGCTGAAGAGTTCCGTTTCAGCATTAACCCCTTCTACACCCAGGGCATCCGATACCTGTACAATGAAGTCCCGGTCCAGACAGCAACGTCACTGGCCATCAAGGATAATTCTACAGTGTCGGATATTGCCCGCCTAGCGGCTGTGGCCGATGAGGGTCTCGCCCTCTTGCATCCTGCCTCGGGAAGAGGTAGCATTCGGCAGCTGTTAGTTGTGGGTGACTCAACCCTCTACTTCAAGGCCGGCGCCAAAACAGCATCCACGATTGCTGAGGACATTGAGGCGATGACCTCTATGGGGGCCCCTTTGGATCACTACGCCGCGGTGCGAGTGCTGCCAATTTGGGGAGGCAACCTCCGGAAGATCAGGGACACCGTGGTCGAAACCTTCGACGAAATGGTGGCCCAGTTGCCCCCTGAACAGCAGGAACAGCAGGTGATCGACATACTGGTTGTCTGGCAGGGAAATGAGCTCTTCGGCAACTATGGGGTCTTTATTCCCCCGGATCTCCAGCACTGGAACATGCCCCCGGAAGGCTACGCCGCTGAGGGCGATTGGTCGCAGATTGCCAGTGGAGTGTGTGGCAACATCCGACGAATCGCCGCCCTCAAGGGCAGGCCGTGCTGCGGTGCGATCTCGTTCACTGGACCAGGGCGTGCAACGTATTATAGTTTGCCACACCAATGGGAGGAAACTATGAAAGTGTTGCTTTCTTACGCCAAGGGTCAGGGGTGCAACGTCTTCGAGTTTGCGAACATGGCTGGTGAGCTGCCCCTCTACGATGTGTACCACTTTCGGGAGGACAGGGAAAGCCGCAGCCGCCTGGCAAACTACCTGGCAGCACTGTCGGTTCTGGCCGCAGTGCAGGACATGGCCCAGCACGTTCCGGAGGATCTGCTGCAGGAGCTTGCCCGTGATTACCCCTTTCGTGAGGGTGGGCGCTACAGGGTCCCTGCTGAGTTCGAGTCTGAGTGGTCAAAAAGTAGCGCCGGCTATCGACACATGATTCCGGCAAGGGCCTTCACTCTTGAACCTTGGCAGAGGACTATTGCTCCAGATACCGAACCGTATGTGGAGTTGTCGCAAGAGCAGGTCGCTCGCGAGACGAGCAACTACCGCCTGGGAGGCCACAAGCAATGGCATCTAAGGCGAGATGCGGACAAACAATACCAGTCCAAGGCCCGCGACGCTGATCTTGCGTCCCGAAAGGGAACGCCGGCTTCGAGCTCGAAAGATCCAGAACCTGATGGTGAGGGAAACATAGAGCTCGACAGTCGCTCGTTTGAGCAGGTCAAGCGCCCGGCACCGTGGATCGTCCCCTATCCCAAGGTGAAGTCGTCCAAAACCGAGAAGAGGGGTAGCCCTGCGAAAGCAGAGGCCGAGCCGTCTCTTTTCGTTGATGACGTGGAAGACTACTACCTTGGGTGGTCCCGATCAGAAGAACTCACTTTTGATGAGATGCGAGGAATCAACCGCGATGACTTCAACTCGATCCCGTTCGACGACCCCAGAATGGTCCATGTGCTTCAGGCAGAGTTGAAGCCTGAAGAGGAAGCCGACATTCCCCATCACATCATGAAGGGGATCACCGGTTTGGTCAGAGGCCATCGCTCGGGGCGATCGTGGGATCGGACATGGATGCTCGTTGATGAACTCATCGACATCGTGTTGGCGCGGTACAAGATTCTTCTAGGGACAAGAAGCATCTTCTCGATCGTCTACCATGACAACAAAGCGAGATTCTCACTTCGGTGTATGCCAGATGCTCTTCGCTCCCAGGCACTTGGCCAGGACCTTTACCCGGTCTGGATCCATTGTGCCCAGGGCCACACCCAATCGGCCCGAGACCGCTACACAGACACAGACCTCGCAGTGTCCTGGCTTAGCCCCAAAAGTCAAGAGGAGATTGGAGATACCGCCGCCTTCGCAGGTAGGCCGCTATTACCAATTGAAAAATGTCCTCCCCGACTGTACCACAGGACTACCAGAGATGCTGCGTTGGCAATTGTTGAGGGGTCAATGAAACCTGGGTTTGGAGACTCGGGCAAGGCACACAACTATTTTGCCCTTGCAGCGCTCGAGGACCTCCAGGTCAAAAGTGGCGTGCGTGCCGACCTTCCCATCGAAATCGTCTACGAGACAAAGCTTGTATTGCAGCACGCATGGCTTTTCATCTCCGAGAGCGATGGCGTCCTCTGTTCAGAAGAAGTCCCTGGCACGTGTGCACTTTACGTGCGCGACACTAGGGACGGATCCTACATTTGGACCAGGCCGTCAACCGAAGGGTCATCTCGCCCAGCTAACGCTGAGGCCCATGATCCGATGGAGAATGATCAGCCAAGCGCTGCGGTGACCGAAGATGCTGAGACAAATGATCAGGCAGCTTCGAGCCAGAGCGGTACAAGCTATGCGAAAAGGGTATGCCCCAAGTGCGCGCACGACTACCTCATCGGCCAGACCCTTTGCATCCATTGCGGTCAGTCCTTTATTACCCCTCGCTCCCAACTCCATCGCAGAAAGCTGCAATCGGCACGTTACTTCGCAAAGGAGTGTGCTGCAGCATCGTTGGGCCGGCACCATCGGGATCTCTCAGACAGCGACATCCTTCAGGAGATGCGGAGAGATGCAGGTACCCGTGGAGCCATTTCGCCTGAGGCCGAGACGCTTGCTAAAGCAAAGCAGATGGCCAAGCGTGCACGTAATTTGGGCTTCGAGGGCATAATGGACAGGTTCCGCGGTGACGCACAGTTCGCACTCCAAATGATTGACCAAGGTCATGGAGTTGACGACATGCGTGTGTTCCAACTTCTAATTAACGCCGCTCTGCCAAATGAAGGAAGAACTGAGGCACAACGTCGCCTAGGGGTAGGATCCCATGGCACTGGTGCCCGATTCCAGGCAGACAATCCGTTTACTACAGCTCGGCTGATTTTCGTGAATTGCACGCCTCAAGAGTTGATTGCTGCGGGTCTAGCGACCACGCCGGACGATCCTGCCTTCGTAGTGTCTTGGATCGGGGCCATCATGAGCTTGGAGGACTTCATCCAGATCCTTGCGAAGTCCGACACGATTCATCGCTTGGTCACCTTCACTGGCACGGAGCCGACCAAAGGCAGCTCTCGATGGTCCCTCGACGAGAATCGGGCATGGATTCTCGATCTGGTCCGCAAGAACCAGGGACCAGCGGAGAGAGCCTACCTGGCGAAGGACGAGGATGCCCAGCGGTCACGTGAGGCACAGGCAAAGATTGCGTCAGCCAAGCCGAAGGGAAGGGGAAAGGGCGAGCAGAACCGTGGCGAGCAGTACCGTGCCCCACGCTATGAATGGACGGATAGCTACCGCCAGGGGGGACGATGGAATCGTCAGTGGTGAAACCACTCCCCCCGCCCCTTTCAAGCTGTAGTGCCATATTTTCATCAATGAAGCCGAGTTGCAGGCAAATCCGACTTATATCGCCCCGCTAACGCGGAGGCCAATACTCATTGTTGCTTTGCACAAGTAGAAAGATGAATCTTCTTTTCGCCTAATTTCCAACTGGTCACATCGTGACAACTCCGAAACTACCGGCGCCGCACCTCAATTTAACGGCTGACGGTACCAATTCGATCCTCACCTCCGGGTTTGACGCGATCGTTGGAGTTTATAAGTGCAAGCATTTTCGGACTTTTGTTTGCCCTCGGAGCAAAATCGAATTCACATGTGTCTGACGTGCTGCTGTTGAGCATGTCTTAGTGAACACAAACACTTTTCTACTCCCGCGAGGTGATCGCTTGCCCGTCGCAAGACGAGGCCGATGTGCGCTCAGTGATGTTTCAGGGTTGCAGTGCAGTCCGCCTTCCCATTGCCAATACTCGGCGAGGGGGGTGTAATTTTGCATTGCGATAACCCTTGCATTTTAACATCATGTGCATATCGTCCCGTTGCATTACCTCGCAAGCCCTCTGCAGTAGAAAATAGAGCGTTCGCTCCTGCATGGCTTAACGGTATTCTCAACTCAGTGCTTGTGATTACACCTTGGAGTTTCCCTGATAACTATAGTCTGGGCACTTCGGGGTTCTCTGGCTTCAGGTCAACCCCTTTCCCCCTCCTCCCCACCACCCTCCGATCGGAGAAGCGAACTCTTGTGGAGGATGGCACGGCAGAGACCGACGGGGCCGAAGGCCCGTCAGGGTTGAAGGCTGAAGAGGATTGTAATTAGGGCTTGTAGGGCTAAGGGTTAAGGTTCTTTCACCCTGTAAACACTAAATCACTAAATGCATACCTGGAGGAGCTCAAAGTTTAAGGGTTGATTCTGAAGGTCCATGTCTTTCATTATTGCTACTGCTACTGCTACAATTGCTACTACAACTGCAGACATGGCACGCGAAGGACTCGCGAAAGGAAAGCCGTATTCCTCGAAGACATCAAATCCAGATGAAAGAATATTGATTACACACAAAGGTACAGAGCTTCCATTTTTATATTTGAAGTCTGGGCAAGCTCCTCACTTACACGAAGCGTGAGGTGATGGTGTGGTCACTGGTGGCAGCAGCCTCTACGACCTTTGGTCGACCAGCAAGGACGGTCTGCTTGGGTTGTTGTATAACAGGGTTTTCAGGGTTTAGGGTTTAGGGTTGATTTTGCACACCTCGTACGGAAGGTGGAGGCTGGAAAGAAAAGGGCGAAGACTTCGGACAGCCAAGGACAAGGTACAAAGTCCAGGGCCAAGAGGGGCGTTTGGTTGACCAGATCTTCCAAGTGACATGAGTCTCTGCTCAGCTTGCAGCATCCTTAGATCCAAGGTTCCATTTGCAGCCGCAGCAGATAGCTGATATCTGTGATTTCAGCTGCATCCTAAGTGATCTTCAAGCCAGAACGAGTCTGGGCGGACTGGGCATCTCATGTTTCTCTCGCGACATTTATTAGTTGGGAAGCCCATCTTGGGAAACTCTGGCCACAGAGCGCTGACGGGCTTCGGCAAGGTCTAGAATGCTTCGGGGAGGAGGCTCTCGCCTTGCAGGAGGCGTCGCAGTTTCAATGCCTTGAACTTGAGCTCCCAAAGCTGAGAAGCCCCTCCATGTCTTGTTTAGAGGCAGATGAGCTGCGCTTGGACTCGCTTGATGCTTCCTTGGAAATATTCGTGCGCCAGAGCCTTTGGCTTCCATGACTTTTGTGAGCCGTACGCGGGTGGATGCGGTTTTGGAGATTTTGGGCCGTCTCCGCCTCTGTCTGTGTTTCCGTCTCCGTCTCCGTCTCGGTCTCGGTCTCGGTCTCTGTCTCGGTCTCGGTCTCTGTCTCGGTCTCGGTCCCTGTCTCGGTCTCTATTCTGTCTCCGTCTTCTCTCTCTCTCTCTGTCTCTCTCTCTCTCTCTCTCTGATTGTGTGTAGTGTGCTTTGGTCTCATGCTCGGTGGAAAATGGGCGTCGTTCCCTCGCCCCTGAGGTCTTTGTGTCTGTGGCCTGGCGAGTGATCGCGCGACGACCACTCTTCTGTTCCCTGCCTGGACATGGAGTCTCACTCCCTGCCGTTGCCTCCTAGCTTCTTGGGACATGGGCTTTCATCTAAGTTCTAGGAGTCACGGTCCTGTTTAGGGTTTCGGGGGTTAGGGTTTAGGGTTTAGGGTTTAGGGTTTAGGGTTTAGGGTTTAGGGTTTAGGGACCTTGTTGTTGCAGAACTGACTTTGCAAATAGTCCCCTAGTCCGCCCTGAACGTGCGCGGGCTGTTTCACGCACCCCTGACAATCCTACACGCTGCTGTCGCTCATGGCCCTAAGCCCTGAACGCCAATCACGAGACTTGGAATCTTGAATGGCCTACTCATCAACCCTGAACCCTGAAACCAGGACCTTGAAGCATTTACGAACAGAACCTCGCTCTGAGATGCGCTCCTAAACCCTAAGCCACCCGACTAGACAAAGCACGCCCCTTAAGGTGCACTAAGGGTTCAGGGTTTAGCGCTCTTCTTGCCCCTGAACCCTAAGACCCCCAGCTTCAAACCCCCCCCCCCCCCTCCACAAAAAACCCTAAACCCTAAACCCTGAACCCTAAACCCTAAACCCTAAACCCTAAACCCTAAACCCTAAACCCTGAACCCTGAACCCTAAACCCTAAACCCTAAACCCCCAGAACTTAAATCCTGCCCAGCGCACGTCCGGAAGCTCTCCACGCCTAGGCCAGCAGCGGTGGGCCAGCGGCTGTCCCCCTTGGTCATGCCTGGGGCTCTCCGAAGGGAAGTTGGAGGTTTAGGGTTTAGGGTTCAGGGTTTAGGGTTTAGGGTTTAGGGTGTTAGGGTTTTAGGGTGTTAGGGTGTTAGGGTGTTAGGGTGTCAGGGTGTCAGGGTTTTAGGGTGTTTAGGGTGTTTAGGGTTTAGGGTTTCAGGCCCGCTTGATTGGCCTAGGCAGGAGAGGGTTGCAGGCATCCCAAGCAGCTTCTCGAGTTGAGGCTCAGACTCCTGCGGACCGCCAGACAGTTGCAGCATGGGGCCGAGACCAGTTTTGAGCACACGGTTTAGGGTTTAGGGTTTAGGGGTTTAGGGTTTAGGGTTTAGGGTTTAGGGTCAAGCTTCTCGTGTGCAGAGGCCTGGGCCGATGGTTCTGACGGATGCGGCCACGCTGCCACGTCATTGGCTTGATGCCGCGGAGCTGGGTCGTTGAGCACGGCAGGAGAGCATCGGGAAGAAGCGAACTGCAGCCGAAGCTCGGCGAAGCCTCCTCCCTACCGAGTACTGAGCCCCTCCGTGCGGCGAGTTCCGCAGTCCCTCCGTGGTGGCGAGTTCCATAAAACCCTCCGTGTCAAAACTCCAGCGGAGGCCTGCACTCAGCTGCTGCCTCTGCTTTCTATGCCGAGAGTAGCCGGGTAACCCAGAGGCTCCTGGGCTTGTTTTGGTTCAAACGTGTGCTGGACGTGCCATGTTGTCATTACACCCTACTCTCTGAGGCCCGGCCATTCTCTTGCAGCTGGCTGTGCCTGGGCTTGCACTCACTACATACGGGTAGTTGGGGGTAGTTCTCTTTCTTTTGGGTTCCTATATATAGTCTGGCACCTAGTCAAAAGGATCCCCAAAAGGGATCCTCATTCAGAGAACTACCTATATGGTAAGCCATTCCGTGCTGCCCTCCAGTCTCAGCAGCACCCGAGGCCCCACTTGCGGCTTTGCTGACTCGGGTGCGTGATCTTCTGGTGCCAATCTCAAGTCTCCGAGTGATCTGGGAGTTTATGCTCGTAGTTGGAGATCCAAAGGGAGAGGCGAAACTTAAGTGTCACAGCACTCCCCACCCAGCGTAGTTAGCCCTTGCAATGGCACGCCCACACTTTGCGACTGCGTGCTTGAAGGCGCAGTTCGAAGAGCATCCGTCCCTTTTGGCCATCGAAGGCAGAAGCCGTGCTTACACGTTGCAGACACCAGAAATGTCTCTAGGGTATGGATTGGTATTTGAGGAGTGCTTTCTATGGAGACTGTGATACCTCCAGCCTCGTGCATCCGGTACCTAGCTAAGTTTAAGGCTTGTGCAGCTAAGTGGGCAGGCCTCGTCGAGAAGATGATGGCCCTGAACCTGCTACAGTCGAAGCCCGAGCTAAGACCGAGTGGAGCGCAGCCTTCTTTCTAGTTGTTTCGAGTTGTTTCGACTCAAGCCGCAGCGACCTTCGTAAGGACGACGCCGATGGTCATCGTGACAATGTTGGAGCTGCTCCTTGGGCGAGTGGTTGCCCATGACCGAGTTTCTCCAGCGTTTGCTAAAGCTGCTAGCTTGGCTCCCAGTACGAGGGCCCCCAGGAGCTGTGGGTGAAGAGGCTTCAGCCAACGGCATTAAGCGCAAGATTTGCTGACGTAGTCTTGATATTGCACTTCAATTCACCATGCGCAGCAGCAGCAGCAGCAACAACAGCAACAGCAAAAGCAAAAGCACGGCCTGACCGGCCTCTCGTTTCAAGGAGCTGCAGCATCTCTCATCTGATACTTGGAAGCTGGGTGACGTTGGGATACGCCCAGGTCTGGGAGGAAGCTGCAAGCCGCCATGTCTCGCTGCAAGCGCAAACGCAACCGCTCAAGGCCTTCAAGCGCGCGCTTGCTGTTGATGGTTATAGACAATGCTTAGTATTCTATATATATATATATATGTGCATACATACATATATATATATGTTTCACGATACAACCTGTAACATACAGTACTCAGTATTACAGTATAGAAATAGATGAGCCAAAAACTGATTTCAACGCTCCGCGACCCACCTCGGCCTGGCCCTGCCCCGCAACCGGAGATCGCGGGTGTGAAGGTGCTGTTAAGCGTCAGGGCTTTGGAGGGCATCGTGTGGTGGAGGAACATTTAAGGGAGGAGGCGGGGGGGGGGGGGGGGGAAAAAGGGGTGCGATCTGGTTCGGGGGTGTTGGATGCTACGGCCCGAGGCCTCGGCAGGTATGTAATATAAGGTATATAGTATAAACAAAATGTATATATATATATATATATGTTTAGTATTTTGTGTAGGGTCTCTATTTTTCGTGTCCAGTATTTAGTACCATAAATGTTTCGACAGAAGGAAAAGCGATGTCATGTACTACAATAGCAAAGAACTCCACGACTGTATATTACAATAAATAAGATCATCTTCTTTTCTGATATATGTGTTTAAAAGCATTCTACAGAACATATTCATACATCAGAGAGCTTGCTCGGCTCCAGCTTGACTGCTTCCTTGGCTGCCTGGACACCTGGTCCGCTTTGTGGCAGGCGCTTGTGGTCAGCTTGCGCGAGCGGCAGCTGCTGGAGTGGAAAGGCCCGGCTCCCAAGGGTTTAGGGTTTAGGTTTTAGGGTTTAGGGTTTATCAGGTTTAGGGTTTAGGGTTTAGGGTTTAGGGTTTAGGGTTTAGGGTTTAGGCGAGTCTGCACGGAGCATGGCTCACCCTGCAAGATTGACCACTTGACCCTCCCTCTTGAAGATGCCAAGATAATTTTGTTGGGTGACCTCCCAGAGTCAGAGCGCATGAGGCTTGCGGCAGATTCGCGAGCGCTTCTGGGAGCGCAACAGCTCTAAGTGGTGGCTGCATCTCATCGGCTTGCTTTCAGAGGCGCCAAACCCATCCCTCTCGCGCCAAGACGGTGGTGTCCTGACCAAAGCCATACCCTGCAAAAGAACTGGCGCCGTCTGGGCTTTGGGTGTGCGATGCCGTTACGTTGTCTCATGGACCACATGCCTGATGCTCTCCCGTCTGTGATGCGCACAAATCAGATGCCATCAGTGGGTTCCATCTCCCCCTGGCCATCTCAACAGCCAGGCCGCAGACTCCCGAAGTCTCGTCGATGAGCTACTGCGCTTCATGCGCACAGCCCCGCTTGGAGAGTTCCGCACCCGCAGGGAGCTCGGTTTGATGCTATGGGTGACTAGGGCTTCAAACTCCTTTTAAGGGTCTTGCCAGTGAGTCTTTCAGATGCGTGCAACTCGAGTCCTGTATGCTGTCATCAACTAGCAGCTACTTGTAGCATCGTTCAAGGTCTACAAATGCTTCGAGCGGCTGCGCGACTCCAGATGGAGGCGCTGAAGACCAAGATAAGATGTCTTGGCAACATGTTGTGTCGTAGGCTTGTTGCTCCATGTGCGGAGGCTGAAGGCAACACAAGCATGGCGGGGCTTGTGGCGCATCACGTTCGGCACTCGATGTCACGATTGTGGCAGAGGCTGTGGGTGGTGCTCGTTTTGCCATCGGTGAGGTGTGGAACTTCAGCCGGAAGTGGCTCCCGGCCATCGAGAAGGAGCTCGCGAAAGCCCAGCAGGCGGTTCCCGCCTGAGACTTTGTAGGAGCCGTAAGCGCTATCATGTCAGGCCATGGAGAAGGAAGTGCAGGACTACGGAAGACCATGTGGATCCCAACCCATCCTTTTCCAGTTTCGCGTCAGTCATGTTGCTTCAAGTTGCCAACTTGCGTCATACTGAATTTGAAGGACTTGGTCAAGATTGTGCGCTGGGACCTGTCGAACTACCACGCTTTGAAGGCAATCGGCATCTCACAAGCTGTGATGCGAGACTTGATGCTTGAAAGCCCCATGGTATGTGAAGCCGGCATTTGTACCCATTGTGGGCGTTGAGCTTGTTCCTCCTGGAGATCAGATTGACGAGTGATGCTTCAAGCTTCTGCTTCTTCGTCATTTGCTCTTGAACCACCCTAAACCCTAAACCCTAAACCCTAAACCCTAAACCCTAAAACTTAAACCCTAAACGTGGCTGCCTTCGAAGCCCTTGCACTTCTGCACGAGGACTCGGCATCGCGCAGCCACCGCCAGCTGAGCCGGGCCATCAAGCGCTTCGACGACAGCCTTCAAGAGCCCCTTGGGCTGGCTCAGGTGCTTTTTGTTTGTGAACCCAAAACCCTAAACCCTAAAGCCTAAACGCTAAACCCTGAACCCTGAACTCTAAACCCTAAACCTAAACCCTAAGCCCAAACCCTAAACCCTAAACCCTAAACCCTAAACCCTAAACCCCGAACCCTTCACCCATCCGCCTGCAAAGGCTGGTCGATCTGGTCCTTTCCTCGGCCTCCTCGAGCGCCAAGCCGGCGCCTGCCCACCACAGCCCCGGCCCTGGCCTGGGTGCTTCGGATACACTGATATCAAGATATCAATATATCAATATATCAATATATCAATATATCAATATATCAATATATCAATATATCAATATATCAATATATCAATATATCAATATATCAATATATCAATATATCAATATATCAATATATCAATATATCAATATATCAATATATCAGTATATCAATATATCAATATATCAATATTAATTTACTAATATATCGTTGGTATATTCGGGCCGGGGTCGGTGGCAACAAGAAATGAGAAATAGATGCAATATGTAAGCTTCTTCTCTAACTTGAGTGTTCTGGATTAGAGCTCTTTCTGTCATATCTTCTGCTATTTCTAACCATTCGGACCATGGGCCGCAGGTTGTCGTGGAGTTTCGTTGAAGGACACGTGCGTTGTTTTCGGGATGTACAAGAGAACTACTTCATTTTCTACTTTTCGTGTTTGGCTCTTGCTGTTACATTGTGTTTTGGCTTCTGAGATTGAGTGTGCTAACCTGGAATCTAAATCTTAAAGGTCAAGCCTGCAGAGAACCAAAAACGCTGCAAATACCAGTGTTTAGGGCATGGTCGCCAAAGGCATGGACCATTGCGACAACGTGTCTTGTTCCACATCCTTGTGCAGTATGTTGTACAAAGAGGAGGTGAAAACATTGTCAATGATATGAATGACGTTTTTATGCCCGTCCAGCCACAAACCGCCCGTCCTCCTCCCCCCCCCCCCCCCCCCCCCCCCCCCCCCCCCCCCCCCCCCCCCCCCCCACCCCAGGAAAGTGGAGAAAGCACCACGACAATCTAGGGCCTGCTCGCATTTGTTGCCCAGGCAGGAGGTTCACTGTCGAGGCTTTTGCCCTCGCGACGGCTGCGGAAATGCCCTCTGGGCAGGTGGGGCACGGCCCAGCCCACGCATCCTCATGTGGGGGCCTGTCTTGCGCGCACTTCGCAAGGTCAGTGGTCGAGTGAGCGACAGCATCGGACCGAGAACACCTTGATGCACCACAGACACGTACGGTGACCCATCACGGACAGTTCTATTTCGAGACTATTCGGCTCAGGCGACGAGTTTTGGAGCGATGCGCAATCAGTTGTGGGAGCGCTGTGCGCGGCCCACGAAATTCCAGATAGCCTGCTCGGTGCACATCTAGAATGCGTGCACTCTCTGTGTCAGCTCAGATTCTTTCCCAGATGAGCCGAGGCCATCGATGCTCAGCAGTCTTGGTCGCATGATTGGACAACAGTTGCTCCCGGATTCGCCCCTTGACGAAGGGAGTGGCGGGTGTAGTCGCAGTCATGGTCCTGGTCGTTCGTAGTCGTCGAAGTAGCTGTCGAAAGTAGAGTAGTTGTAGCCGTATCCGAGCTGCAGTTGTCTGGAGAAGTAGTATGGAGAGGTCAACAGAGTAATGCATGGGGAATGTCCATGGTTGTGGATGCAGTTGTAGTTGTAGCCGGTGGCGCTGTTGTTGCCATTGGCCGTGTGCAACGCGTTGTTGTGATTCTAGAATCACTAGCCGCTGCCGGAAGTCACCTTCGTCGCATGTCTAGATGCTAGACGGCTGGAGGTTTTGCCTGTCGGCGGCTGCAGGCTCCGGGGTCCTGGAGGCAAGCCGCTGTGCCAAGCGAGCGCTTGAATCCTCAGTAGGCCTTGGCAGCCCAGGTGGCTGAAGACCTGTGCTCCGAAACAGGGCCGCTCCCCCAAGAAGAATGGGGTGTTTGCAGGGCTAGACAATGCTGCTCTGGCGCTCTCAAGGTCTGTGCTGGAGTCCCTGCAAGACCAAGAGACGACGCTTCCAGTGAAGCGCAGAAGGCTGCATGGCCTCAAGGATCCGGTCTGCTCAACATCTCTTTTGCAGACTCTAAGTTGCCCCCCCCTTCCATACTGAAATACCAGGGTGGTCCTCTGAGTCGCAACACATGATATAGGATGTTATAGGATGCTCTGGTGGGTGATGCCATTTGCGGCGCTGCGCGTGTTTGCAGGAGATCTGCGCCAACTTCGGATTTGCTTGAAGCTCAAGAGCCCTGTGAAGGGTAAAGGGATGACAAGGGTTTTGTGTAGGGTCGCCTGCTATCTAGGATTGCGTCGGTGCGCCGGCTGCGTTCCTGCATCCTTAAACCCAAACCCTACACCCCAAACGCTAAACCCTAAACCCCAAACCCCAAACCCCAAACCCAATTCTCTCTTCGGCGACACCCTGTAGGACTTCTCGTGCACTGAAGTCATGACATGAGGTTCCACGCCCGGTGCATGACTCCTCCTTCGACGTGGCCGATTTCTTCTGCTCTCTGCTTGCCACGCCCTTCGCGGCAGACCGGGGCTCAGAGTCGATGCCGCTTTAGGGTTTAGGGTTTAGAGTTTAGGGTTTAGGGTTTAGGGTTTAGGGTTTCCGACACGCTTCAGATGTGGTATCCGCACTTCTTCTCAGCCTCAGGAGGCGACGCAAAAGGATGAGCCGAAAGACGACAACAACGAAGCCAAGCCAAGCCACGGGCCCACAGCCGCACATCAGCTGTTTTGAGATCTTTCCGAGTAGATTCTAATTAAGTAGTATTCGTAGAGTCAGCTTAGGGTTTAGGGGTTAGGGTTTAGGGTTTAGGGTTTGTGAGAATGGAAGGCCTGCAGCCGGAGCGACCCTTGAAGAGGCTGCTGTTCCAGCGCTTTGAGACCTTGCCATGAGCACTGGCGTCAAGCAGCAAGCGGTTGCGCGTGGATAGACCCTAACCCCTACACCTAAACCCTAAACCCTAAACCCTAAACCCTAAGCCCTAAGCCCTGACACGTTGCTATTTGCCCGTGTGGTTTTCTTGAAATTTCCGGTCTGGAGAGAGTGTTCTTCTGTTGAGGGGCGGGGAGGGGGGGGGGAGGGGGGGGGATTGGTTACGACCATTTGACTCTAACCATCCCCAAACCCTGCTATTTACGGCGTTTTTGCCTCTTTGTGCAACATGTTGCTGGAGGATGTTTGATGTTCAGCAAAACGGGCGCTGTCACACGTGTTCATGCCGTTTTGCGAACATGCCCAAAACCCTGCTATTTGCGGCGCTTTTGCCTCGTTGTACAACATGTTGCTGGAGGATGTTTGATGTTCAGCCACACAAGGCACTGTCATAAGCGTTCATGCCATTTTGCGAACATGACCAAAACCCTGCTATTTGCGGCATTTTTGCCTCTTTTATACAATGTGCGTCTCATCGAACACAACTACAGCAGGGTCTGGCGCTGGCAATTGGTCCCCAAGCGAACATCCTGGATCGCTTGGGGAAGGTGTGCTAAAATGAGTGCCCTAAGTTTGAGTTCCTGGATTTCCTAAAGCACGAATCCCTCAATTTCCACAGCCACACGCACGAAGTCCTGTAATTTACAGCGCTTTCCGTGTATGCCCTAAAACGTACAGGCCCGCCACCACACGGTCAGATATCAACGTGTGACCCCCTAAGCCCTAAGCCCTAAACCCTAAACCCTAAACCCTAAACCCTAAGCCCTAAGCCCTAAACCCTAAACCCTAAGCCCTAAAGCCTAAACCCACGAAACGAAGCCTCTTCTGCCAGGCTGCGCACGAAGCAGCCGGGCTCCCTGGGATGGTCCATGGCTTTCTGTAGCTCTCTGCTCTCTGCTGTTGATGCTGTTGCTGAGGAGACTTGCTGAACCGGTTCCTGCAGAGGATCAGGCCACAGACGCGTGTGGGTGGCATGTGTGAGCAGGTGTTCGGATGTGAATCGCTTCAATCTTTGGATGGCGTTTCTCCACAGGGGCTCACTCTAATGACTCTAATGGCTCTAGATGCTGCATATGCCGAATTCGTACGAGCCGACTCGCCACACGAAGGGGGTCTGCTATAGCCTTTCTGTGCAAGGCGGGGAGATCTTTCCTGGACGACTTCAAAGCCGAAGTCGAGTGTTGCTGGGCCAGGCCCCGTGCACGAGGGCAGCACTTGCAGAGCCTGCAGACTCGAGAATTGCAGTCATTGAGTCCTAAACCCTAAACCCGAAACCCTCAACCCTCAACCCTAAACCCTATAAACCCTACACCATTGCAGGACGGATGACTTGACCTATGAAATTCTTCATCTGGTCGGGGCCTCACCTGCAGACTGCCACTCGCAGCTTGCAAATACGCCCTCTTTTGGACTTGTCAGGCTTTGCGTTTGCATTCCACCAAGAGCCGGCCAAAAGATCTGACAGCCGGTGAAATGCAGGCACCCGACAGAACCTGGCATAGGACACCCATGCGATCCAGGGTAGAAAGTCTGCAAAAGGTCACGTCGATCTTGGAAGGTTTGGCTTGGGCTGGCGGCAGCTTCCATCCAAGCACTTCGATGCCACCGCGAGCGGTGCGTGGTCTTCAACTTACATTTGCCTGACTCAAAAAGCTTGTGTGGGCATCTCGCTGCTGGCTCCCGCTTACGATTCATTCAGGCTTTTCACAACGTTGTGGCCCAGTTTGAAGACACATGTAGTGTCTGGCCCCTATCCTTGCCCTTCGTTGAAGCAGCCCGGGAAGAAGTGCCTGGCGCTGAAGGTGAGCTTGGCGGAGGTGTCGCTGAAGGTGCCCAGCAAGATGCTGCGAGCAACCTTCATGCTGCGCACCTCTCAGCTGAAGCAGGGAAGCAGCGAGGGGGCACCGAACCCTAAACCCTAAACCCTAAACCCTAAACCCTAAACCCTAAACCCTAGACCCTAAACCCTAAATCCTAAACCCTAAACCCTAAACCCTAAACCCTAAACCCCATGTTGCGCCCGTCTTGCTCTCAGAGGCGCTGCTGGCCGAGGTTGGACCGACTCCTGGAAGGTGGCCAGCAAGCGCGGCTGGTGGGGAAGGCCCGCAAGGCCAGGCTTTCGCGAAGTGGCGCCGAAACACTGGGGGAGAGAAGAAATCTTGATCAACAATGGATAACTTAAGTGAATAGAGACGAGAGGAGTGTTTTCGGAGCGAGTTACGCGTGAGCGTAGTTACGCGTGAGGCAAGTTCAGAAGCAGAGGTTCCCTGTGTGGTCTGGGAGAGTTGTCCAGCTTTGCTGAGGCAGGCTCCTGTGACGAGCCGGGGAGCCCGGGTTGTGTGGTTTAGGGTTTAGGGTTTAGGGTTTAGGGTTTAGGGTTTAGGGTATAGGCCACCAAGGCCCCATGGCGCCAGGCAGCAAGACCTGCGAGATTTGCGTTGCTGCAGCTGAGGGCAATGCAGGCGGCCATCGCGAGCTTCGAGTCCACCGTGTCTTTTGCCCATGTCTCGGTTTTTCAACATCACGCTGTGCTTGAGAGAGCCGTGACTTTCTTCTTTGTGAGTGTCATTGTTGCCAAGGTTCATGGCTCGGAGGAGTTTCGATGCTGTAGAGTCAGGGCCTGAGCAGTGAAGATGTGTCGGCCACCGTATAAGTACGATTAAGATGAATCATCAGGTACCCAATGGCTTGGCTTGATGAAGGTCGTTTGTGAACACTTGTGGGTTGAGATCCCGAGGCTACCTCGGATTTTTCAGCACATCTGCATGTCAAGGACCGCTACCGCGTGAAGCTACGGAAGTAGCCTCTTTCAGATAACGAGCATGCCTCATTCTACCCTTATCGCATGCCAGGTGAGGTTCTTGCACAGCTTGATTGCGAAGGCAGGTGCATGCTCTACGGTGCAGACACAGTCTGCAGTTCGCCGAGTGCCGTAGTCACGGCTTCCGAGCACTTCGGGACAATCGAAGATGATCGTGCTTTGGCTAACCGTAGCTTCGCTAACGACTCAAGCCCTGCCCAAAGTGGCAAAGTGCTTTGAAATGGGTGCAACATAAACCAGGGGGGGTTTTGAAATGCTTGGGGTAGAGGGTCAGGTTCAAGGGCCACACTGGGGAATCTAGCAGCTACTCGGAGATCAACTTACTTCAGGCTCGAGGCTCCGCCCCCGCCAAGACTGCCCAAACTTTTCAAGTCAGTGACTACGGCAGTTACAGCCCTGTGAATCCCAACCTGCGAATCCCAACCTGCGAATCCCAACCTGCGACCCTCAGAAGCACACACTGTAGACTGTAGGACTCAATAGGACCATTAGGATGACGCCATGGCAGTTGGTCTTGAGGTGGAGAACCCTCAGGAAGCTACAGCATCCGAAGATGGCACCTTGCCTTACCAGCTACTGCAGGTGGCACTTGGCCGGTGTGTTTGGAACAGGGTTTATATGACTGGTTTTGGTGAGTGTACATAAGGTTCCATTTTAAAATTGTGGTAAGTGTATATACCGATTGTCCTTTTGGGGGTACAAGAAATATATACCCTACTTCATAATAGATTGCTGAGAGGCTTGCCGGACTTGCTTTCCGTGGAGAAGTTGCCGGCCGATACTCCAGCAAAGCTGCTCTCCCGCATCAAGAGAAGGGATACTCCAACATGCGGCACAGTCGCTTCAGTGAGTTTTAAATGATTGCTGATGTGTGCACGGAGTTCAGAGCTCAAAGAGCAAAAGGAGGGAGAATGACACAAGTTAAGGCCAGCGCGCGCTGGGCGCAGGACACGTGCTGTTATGCATACTTGCACAGACCCCTTTCAGCTACTTCCCGACTCCGGGCATCGAGTTTCCGTCATCGTCCCCGCCCGGCAGCACCCAAACATGCCGTCCACAGGAGGCGAAATGTGGCGAACGAGAGCAGTGAGTGCTGCAGCATCCGGGGCGTTGTGTGCTGCGCTGCACCTCGGCCAGCCGTTGAAGCCTTCCAGCAGGGGCTGGAGCTTGCCGCAAGCAACTGCAGGTCAGCTTCGGTGTGACATTCTATCTTGGTGGAGTTCAGATGGAGGCAGCATGGGATGCACACAACAAGGCAGTTCTTTTCATCTCCATGGCCTCTGGTTGGGCAGGTTTCTGCGCTCACCAGCCTTCCAGTTCCGAGGGCGTCAGAGGTGGATCTGTCCAAGCTGCCGCATCGAGGTTGCACGTGAAAACCTCTTTGTTTCCTCCATGTTCCTCCATCACCGGGCAGTCAGTGGAGTCGGGGCAGCCTATTCTGCGTAGGCGGACCCGCAAGAACAGTTAAGAACAGCAGGCTGGGAGCCATTGATGAATCGTTGCCTAGGCAAGCCATGCCGCCGCCGCTGCCATCCTCGGAGGTCCCTGACTTCACTTGTGGTCAATATCCGACCGGCGGAGCCTCTTGAGAAGCGGACGATCCGTCTCTTGCCAGGTGGATCTGTCGGTGACGACGACACCTGTGGCTGTGCAGGACATGCGCAGCAACAAACGTTTTGATAAGGAGTCATGACTTTCCCGCTGACCTCAGCCCTCAGCAGCCTTCCGAATCTGCACATCTGGGCCAGGATGCTGGCTGGGTATCGTCCTCTCCAGAAGTTAGAGAACAAAGGACGGCCACAGCCCAAGGGGCAGCAGCTCTTGCAAAGATGCTGCAAAAAAGCGAAAGTAAGGACGTCGACTCAGAGACATCTACCACGGCGCCTGAAGAGATCGGCTATGTGATTCCAAGAAACGACCAATGTCCTAAAGGCCTGAGGGTCATCTGGGCAAGGTCGATCAAGGTCGTATGTAATGCTTCAGCAGCAGCTGCCTCGTGACCAGGCACGCAGCAAGACACTCGACTGCAAACATCACATGGCAACAAGCAAGCCAAGAAAGGCAGGCAGGGGCAAGTCCAAGTAGTGTTTGTGATTGGCATGGCGCAAGGCGCGCATGCATCTGCTGCGTTCTGCTGCGAGCAGGAAGTGCAATGCCCTGCCTAAGGTCATGGACTTGCAAGTGTGCTTGGAGGCTGCAGCTTTCCTGAAGAAGCGACTTGATTGACAAATTCACGACCTAAACCGTAAACTCTATACTCTATGCCTCTAAGCCCGAAGCCCTCAACAAGAAAGCCCTAAACCCTAAACCCTACACGGCATGTATTTTCATGTACTTTGCTTTCCGGAGATTGCGTATCACTGGGTGCTTCCGTTTGTGCAAGGAAGTTGATGTCAACCTCGCCGTTTACCGCAGAGCATGACCCTCCTGGCTGTATCTACCGAGCTTCAGACCGAGCAGTTTGGCTGCAGAGCGCAAAGACACCCCACTGTCACGGCGGCTCCTCTCCAGCAGCAGGGCCTTTGTTCTCCGTCCTTCTGAAGGACATCTTCTTCAACGGTCATCCAGAAGGACATCCGAACTCGGACAGGCGGCCTGTTTGCCGAGGACGAGCCTGCGCTGGGGCTTGTGGGGTGCTCATCTCATGAATTATTAAGTGAGGGGGCAGGTTCTGATTGGCGAGACAGACAGATAGAGACTGATAGAGATGCATATATATATATATGTGTATATATATATATGTATACATGTATATATGTATACATGTACATATGTGGATATGTATATATGTACATATGTATATATGTATATATGTATATATGTATATATATATATGTTTATATATATATATGTATATATCTATGCCATACAGTCCCACTGTCAGGAGCGATTGGTATGTCCGGCATCTCACAGCAGAACATCAAGCCCATCGCTGCTTGGGACCAGGCCACATTGATAGGCGTCTGGCAGTAAGCGCAGACATTGCCCCTCCACTTCACCTGTGTCATCTGTGTCAAGGCTCCCGAACAGACACGAGAAGAGGCGATTCCGAAACAGCTTCCTCTCACACGCCCTCTCCCCCTCGTTCGCGCCATGCTGTTTTGGTGGGGCTGCATGGCGAGCGGAGTCGAGTCTAAGTTTTCACCGTCAGTGCCAAAATCGCCCCCCAGCAGTGCTTGTGTGTTCATGCCCCAATGCGTGCCAGGCTTCGCGCATCCGACTGTTCTGCTTCGCGTGGACGCCGTTTCGGCCCGGCGACGAGGCTCGTCTTGCCGATGCAGATCGGGCAGCTTATTCAGTGGTTGCTCGAGTTTGTTGACCACGATAACTGACTCGACAGTAGTTTCGAGTGGCTTCGGTAAGCGAGTTCCCGAGCACGACCTTGAACAACAACGGAGCAAAGATTCAAGCTTGTTGTGTAGGACGCGTGAGTGTGCTGCAGAGGCAGTGCTTGAAGAAGTGAGGACGCAGTTCTCCAAGTGCGATGGCCATGCCTTCTTCAGTGCCTGAGGGAAAGTCTTTGGTGCGCGTGCTCTCTCTCTCTCACTTGAGAAGCAAGATGATGCAAGCGGCCATCTTAGGTGACCGTCACCCCCATGGTCCGAAGGATGATGTAATCATTGTTCGAGTTCCGGAGCAAAGGGTGCCAAGGACCGATGGCCAGTGGCTGCCAGGGACTCAGAGGTTTTCAGGGAGCCTCTACTGTTGCTACATCGGGTTCGCCGGATCTGCCGTCACGACTTTCCGAGCACCACAACATTAATTACCTTGGTTACGCGCACTTCTGTGCTACGAAGGTATCACCGCAACATGGTTGGCCTGATGCCAACATGGGCTCATCTTCTGAAGACTGGCTTAGCAGAGGAGTACGAAGCTGGGCTTTCGTTTCAGATGGTCTGAGAGTGAGCCGTCTGCTGGAACACAGGGATGTTAGTCTGCTTCAGGAGTGCAGCCGGCAAGAGCAGTATCAGTCTCTGGTTCGAGTGGTCCCAGCCGCATAGTCGCCCGAGGACTGGATTCTGAATGCCGAGCGTGGGCCTGAGCTGCTCGAGCTTGGAGAAGAAGCTCCTTGCGTCCATCACGTGGGGGGTTGTTCTTGTTCTAGATTAGGAGTCGGGGGACCTGCTCAGTGATGGAACAACCCCTTCCATGACAGTTGTGTTCACGTCTTGGTGCTGACTGAAGATGGCTGACTGAAGATGGGGCCAGCTGCAGGCTAGACCACTTCACGAGCCCCAGCAGGTGCCGCCTGGGAATCGTCAGCCGGTCAGCTGCAGTGAGGAGAGCAGCCACATGATCTTCCGAACATCAAGAGTTGTAGTCCTTTTTAGGGGTTAGTGACAAGGGGGGGGGGAGCCTGCGGCCCGGAAAAGGGGCCATGCATGTTTTTTTTTGGGGACCTCATCACCCTACAACTTCAACCTCCAGGATCCCCGAAAAACTCGAGGGATCCCGTAGCCCATGCCGTTCTCAGAGCCCCTCTTGTAGTACTCATACTTCTCGAATAATGGCAACGCGTCGTGCCAGCAAAATCATGCCTACATTAACCCCTACGCCCTGAGGCTACCTCCAAAACTTGCGAAGCGGCTCTGGCGGCGAGCCTCTTGACTAAGCCTGGCCCTGCCGACCGCTCTCTTTCGGTTTAGGGTTTAGTTAAGGTTTAGGGTTTAGGGTTTAGGGTTTAGGGGTTAGGGGTTAGGGTTTAGGGCTTAGGGTTTAGGATTTAGGGCTTAGGGCTTAGGGCTTAGGGCTCGGGGCTTAGGGTTTAGGGTTTAGGGTTTAGGGTCCTTTCAAAGGGAGTGATCATGCCCCCCCCCCCCAAGCAGGGGGAACCCAATATTGCAAAGGCAACCCGCCTTGTGGACATTTTGGGGGCAGGTATCCTGAACAACTACCATGCCTCTGTGGGTGTGCGAGCCCTCTGGGCGCTCCTCTTCTACATCTCAGCCATAAATTAGAAATAAATGCTATATATATATATATATATATTATATGTATTATATATATATATATATATCGTCTTAATGGCGCATGGAGACAGCTCTCTTTTGCCATCGCTGTTTCGTTTTCTTGATGTCTCTATCTCTTTCTCTTTCTCTTCCTCTTCCTCTTGCTCTTTCTCTTTCTCTTCCTCTTCCTCTTTCTCTGTCTCTCCATACGTATAGCATGTATGGCATCATAAAAAGAGTGTGGCCAGACAGAGCACTCTCGTCCTGCCTTTGAGGCAGCGCCTTGCCGGCGGCCCCCTGATGTTGATGTGGGGCAATGCATTTGCCGCCAGGCTGAGTTGCAGGCCCCCCCCCCCTTCAAGAGCCGTAGCCATGTTACGAAACAGCGCCGCGAATCAGCGATGTCAGTATTGATGATCTTGGGGGCGCAGCGTGCGGAAAGCTTCTGGCCGGGCTTCAGTGAGAGGCGGATGGAAATGCTCAGGTCTTCAACCGGAAGATGGTCACCTTGATGCGGGAGCAGTGGAAGTTCCTCGGTGCCACTGAGAAGGAGAAATCTGTCGGCGTTGGATGCCCCCAATTTATGCGAGGGCGGCAGGACCGGCGGGCAGATACGCTTGGATACGCTCAGATGCGCTAGGAAGCGTAGGTTCCGTGACAAGCAGGGCGGCAAGGCCATGCCATGTCTGCGACAGGAGTGGCCAGAGCATTGCTCTCAAGACATCGTGCCGCTTGTCCCAGAATTATGAGAGGGTTGAGGAGGCCCTGAGGTGAACTTCTGAGACTTTCGGAATCTCCTCACCATACTGCATGTTTCCTGGCTACTGCAAAGGTATCCCAACATGCTTGAGGGAGTGATGCGAGGGGGTGCCGAGGCAACGGAAGCATCCGTTCAGTCAGAAGCTCCCTTGAGTCTGAGGGCTCCTTTAAACCCTAATAAACCTAAACCCTAAACCCTAAGCCCTAAACCCTAAACCCTAAACCGACCTTCCGAAGATCCGGGCAGGCTGTTGGAAGATCCGGCTGCGGACAGCCAGATGCCACCAACGGGCTCCTCAGTTCAGCTGTCTGAAGATTTTTACAATGGGGTTTTTGGGGGTAATAATAGTATACTTATATAGGGACCATATATAAGGGGGGGGGTGATAATAGTATACTTATATAGGGACCATATATAAGGGGGGGGGTGATGAAAACATGAGAAATTGAATGTGATTGCTGAGGCGAGGCGTCCCCTTCCAGTTGGGCTGCTGGGAGATGCAGAAAAACCCCTTTGGCATGTCCGAGGAAGGCAAGCCGGCTGAAGTAGATGTAATGATGATTTGGTGCTGTGCACCTGTGCTTGCTTCGAACTTCCTTGCGAGATCTTGAGTCGCTTGCCAGGCGAAATGGATGCAATTCGTGAGTTTGCCATCATTCAGAGCATGAAGGACCGTCGTAGAGGTCAGCTCGGGTGTCGTCCGGCGAGAAAGCAGAACAGCAAACCGCGAGGATCAAAGGGAAGCACAAAAGCGATATGCCGGAACGGATCAAGCACCTGGGGCAATGAGAACAGGCGTACACTCGCACCGTCTCTCGTGCTCAGTTCTTGCTGGTGGCATGAGGCACAGGTTGGTGGTAGCGGGTGCCCGTAGGCAGAGACCCCCTTGCTTCTCCTAGCACTTACTAAGGCTGACAACGTGAAGCTTTGGTATTCTGCCAAGAACGTCCCGGATCTTTGGATGCACCACATGATGCGCCCGACACTTTTTGCGGGTTTTGTTGCTGAGGCCGCGGGTCCCGTGTTCCTGCCCTAAGGTCATCCATCACATCGTGAGTGCAGATGTGCACAAGCTGGCCCGTGAACTCCTGGACCCTGAGCCGGAGCTCCCAAAAAAGGAAAAAAGCTTTGCCTTTGAAAGCCAGTAGACTATAATTATGGGCTGCAGTTTCCTATTTTGGGGGTATAGTAGCCTCTTTTTTTGGGTAACTAGGTGTTTAAGGTGTGTCTCAGGGGGGGGTAACTAGGCGTTTAAGGTGTGTCTCAAGAAGGTATGCCCCACCCCTGGGACACCTGACCACACACGTGAGCCCGGGCTCTTTCTGCTGTTTGGGTGTATATTGCGCACGCCTGGAAGGCCAGTGCGGCCATCAAGCAGATGGATGAAGGCCTGCGGCAGCACATGGTCGTCTTACTGCTTTCCGGATGCTGAAGCACTGCGGTATGAAAGCGGATGTGGCTGGACTTTCGGCTTCTTTGTAAAGCTCCTCAAACTCGGCTCAGCACATGTCAGTACCTCATGCAGCGAGGCCTCACCAGTGCCGCTGGGCTTGCCTGGTTCCGAGTATGGATGGTGGAGCCGATGTCATCCGTCGCCAGCAAGATGCGAGAGCTAGCGAATAAGGTACCCGCATCGATGGCATCATCGTTGAAGCGATCTTGCAAGGTCGGTAAGAGAGAAGGTGTCGGCAAGTTTCTGGCACAGTAGACTCGGCCCTTTCTGTAGGACCTCGAGTCAAGCTTGTCTCAGCTGCAAGCCTGCCAGAGCCCTAGTAAACTACAGATGCACATGCGTGGCTCTTGAAGTCACAAGTGACTGTTGCATCACATGCGGCTTCCTATTGTGCAAGTGCGGTGAGTTGTTGCATTCATTCGGTCACTGCAGGCTTGGAGCCTCCAGTGGCCCCTTCTGCAGAAGCTCTGCGACCTTTGCGCCTGCTTCTGCTGGCTGTGCAGCACACGCGCGAGGTGCCGAGCCCTGAATCTCTGACCCGCTGCTGCGCTTTCAAGCTCAAGCTCGCCTAGAGTCCCACAGCAAGCTCTGCAACAGAGAACGGGGGGGAGCTCTGCAACAGAGAACGGGGGGGGGGCGGGCGGGGCGGGAGACAGGCTCCCTGTAACAGCAGAACCGGGGCCAGGCTGTAACAGAAGCCTCCTCGGGGTCAAGCCATGAACCAAGCTTCCAACACACCTTGCATTGTTTAACGCTTGGAGGATGGACCGTAAAATCTCGGCATGCAGTGGTTTGGAGCGCAGCTGCATCCGTCCTTCCGCGTCTGTCTCTTGCCCTGCGGAAAAACTGTGCAAAGCGGTTCCCGCTGCCATCAGTACCCGTATCACAGCACCTTACAGATTTTCTGGCGTTAGGCTTCAAGGTTTGGGTTTTTGGGGGTTGGGGTCTCTTCGGGTCGACAAGACACACTGGCACTTTTGTTTGTCCTGCAAGGCCGTGCGGGCTGCGGGATGTGTCGCGTGATTTGCGTTGCATTCCCCGCCACCTCTTGGCCTGTTACTGTACCCGGTTTCCGTTACAACCCATGCCCACAGCCCCAGAAAGTGCAGAGTTGAAAGTGCTTTCTTGCAGACCATGTTGCTCCCAAGATTCTTCACAAGCCCCTGACAGGTGTACAGCTCAGATCCATCAATCTCTATGAGCGCAGCGACCAAACCGACCCCTGGCTGGTGATTGAAGCTGCAAGCCAGCTATTGAAGCTCATGCTGGCACGCAATTTCGCAGATACAGTTCAAGGCATCGGACATATGCATAGGAATGAACAAACCTCAACCGGCAATGGTTTGCAGCGGGGGTTGCTCCTGGGACCCCCAAGGACTGGCAACGAAGCGGAGCAAGAAGAGGCACCGGGAGGGGTACGTAGAGTCCATGCAACGCACATGCTGCGGCCACCAGGAAGCCCTTGCCGTGCCACAACTTGGGCTGGGACGCGAGAAGCATCTGAAAGCTTTGCTTGAGCCTTAGCCGCTTAGCCGCTGAGTCCATGCTGCTTGACTGAACGTGAGTTAAATTGAACAGCACTGTCATTGCGAGGTTGGAGATCTTGCCCTTGTCGCAGATCCACGATGCTCTAGGGTGCCTGAGCAGATATCAGGACACACGCTGTGTGATGGGTTCGTTCAGGCTCTTCAGCTTCTGTGGCATGGATTGGCATGGCATAGCACCCCATGATTGTAAGGAACTGCAACGGAGATGTTCTAGTTTCAAGGCTATTCATTCTGATTCTTCAAGACCAAAAGCAGGAGATCAAGCCTGAAAATGCCACCAAAATGGGGGATGTTCCTGTTGGAGATGCCCGGCTCTTGCTGACCGTTGCTCATTCCTTGCTCAGGCAGCATCTGGAGCAGCTTCCGAGCTCATTCGTATCTCCACTGGCACCCTTCTCCAGTCAGTTGGTGCCCTCAGTGCCTGTTGAGTACAGGAATGGTTCGGAGGGTTCGGAACGGGCCAATCGATGAAGGGATTCGCTGATGCACCTTGGGATAGAGCAGGTGAGATGTAGCATCGCCAAGGATCTTGCAGCTGGCGAGGGCTTTGCTGCTTGGCGGGCTTCAGGTGCCCCCCATGCCCAAGTGACCTGCATGGTGAAGTTGCTAACTAGATTTTTTCCAGGCAGCCTTAGCGACGGCCGAGGTTTCGTCTCGTGCTCAGCAGCCTGCATACTCACTAGACCATCACAGACTGCGCTTGGAGAGACAGCATGAGAAAAGCGGCGTGAAGCAGGTTTGAGATACTTCGGCTGGTGTGCTTCCTGATGGAGACTTCAGCAGCAACCAGTTGCTGTTTGCCAAGCTTGGTGGCGGATTTCATGGTACCGGTAGTGGCCAGCAGAATGCAATGCAACATCTCTCCTTTTTAGCTCCTCAGGAAAAAGGGCTCAACTCCAAAGAAGAGGAAGAGCAAGGGGAAGGGGAAGGCACGGCGTGCCGCAAACCCTAAACCGCCTAAACCCTAAACCGCCTAAACCCTAGCCCTAAACCCCGGCCCTAAACCCACAACCCTAAACCCGAGTCGGCCAGGGGAAGGTGGTACCGAGTGGCAGACGGGGACTGGCATGGGTACCTTGACAGCATTTGAGGGCTGTTTCCGAAAATAGAGGCTCCACATAGAGGGGTATCACTTAGTATACCCCCAACATACTCTCATCCTGAACATAAGAACCCCTTACAAGGGTACCCCTCTTTTAGGAAACCTTCATTGCATCGGACACGTGGCTTAGTATTGGCTTGCGATGTAGTTCGAGCGCATGTGCGTAGGCTAGCAGTGGCAGCTGCTGTTCTGAGGCGAAGGAGAAGGCCTGAAGGATGTCACTGATGAGATTGAGGACGGACCCTGAGAAAGGTTGGAGGGAATGCTACAGGACCAAGCAGCAAGGAGCTGACTGCATCTCAAGCGCCGTCGGACAGGACGATGCGCAGCTTGAAGGCACGCGCAACGAGAAGCAGGAGCAGCAGCAGAAGCCTGAGCTTCACGAAGAGGTGCGATGCCAGGGGGTGTTGCCAGCTTGACGCGCTGAGGCCTGAGCCGGAGCAGCCCAAGCAAAGTGAGGACGCCATGTCATCTCCAAGCATCTGTGACTCGCTTCTCCTGAATCATGATTAGTCATGATTCTGATTGTTCTTATTATTACTATTACAACTATTATTATGGGCTGCGTATTTATTTTTATTCTGATGGTTTTTTTCTTTATTCCTTCTGGGCCGGCCAAGAATTTGGGGGGGGTTTTCGGATTTTATTCTGCGGGTTTCTGCAGGTTATTCAGAGGGTTCCATTCCTTATTCTCCCTGTTGGGATTCTTATCCCCAAGGTTTGGTTTTTTATTCTCGCGGTGCCCCCCTTTATTCCGAGGGTTTTTTTTTTTATTCTCCCCCCCCCCTCCCTCCCATCCCCCCACCCCCCCCTCTCCCCCCCCCTCCCCCCCTCCCCCCCCCCCCTCCCCCTCCCCCCCCCCCCCCCCCCGGGCCCCCCCCCCCACCCCTCCCCCACCCCCCTTTCCCCCCCCCCTAAACCTCACCCCCCCCCCATCCACCCCCCCGCCCCACCCCCCTTCCCACCCACCCCACCACCAGGGGTGGTTAAAGATTAAGTTCACTGTGTGGGTGGTGGGTGATGTGTGAGTGGGTGGGTGTGGTGTGTGTGTGTGGTGTGGTGTGTGGGGTGTGTGTGTGGTGTGTGTGGGTGTGTGTGTGGTGTGTTGTGTGTGTGTGTGTGTGTGTGTGTGTGTGTGTGTGTGGTGTGTGTGTGGTGTGTGTGTGTGGGTGTGTGTGTGTGTGTGTGTTGTGTGTGTGTGTGTGTGTGTGTGTGTGTGTGTGGTGTGTGTGTGTGTGTGTGTGTGTGTGTGTGTGTGTGTGTGTGGTGTGTGTGTGTGGTGTGTGTGTGTGTGTGTTGTGTGTGTGTGTGTGTGTGTGTGTGTGTGTGTGTGGTGTGTGTGTGTGTTTGTGTTGTGTGTGTGTGTGTGTGTGTGGTGGTGGGTGTTGTGGGTGGGTGTGTGCGTGTGTGGTGTGTGTGTGTGGTGTGTGGGGGTGCGTGGGTGTGGGTGTGTGGGTGTGTGGGTGTGTGCGTGTGCGCGGGTGTGTGGGTGTGTGGGTGTGTGGGTGTGTGGGTGTGTGGGTGTGTGGGTGTGTGGGTGTGTGTGTGTGTGTGTGTGGGTGTGTGGGTGTGTGTGTGTGTGTGCGAGGGCAGCGCAGGGACGGGACACAGAAAGAACAACAGGGCACGGACAGGGGACACAAAAACAGCGCAGGGGAGGGGACACAGAAAGAACAACAGGGCACGGACAGGGACGGACAGGGGACAAGGGACAGGTGACAGGGGATAGGGCACAGGGGACAGGGGAGAGGGGACAGGGCGCAGGGGGCAGGGGACACGGGACAGAAGGCAGAAGAACAGGATAGGGGACGGGACAGGGACAGACAGGGGACAGGGATAGGGTCAGAAGAAGTAGAAGAAGAAGTAGAAGAAGAAGTAGTAGTAGTAGTAGTAGTAGTAGTAGTAGGAGTAGGAGTAGTAGTAGTAGTGGTAGTAGTAGTAGTAGTAGTGGTGGTGGTGGTGGTGGTGGTCGTAGTAGTAGTAGTAGTAGTAGTAGTAGTAGTAGTAGTAGTAGTAGTAGTAGTAGTAGTAGTAGTAGTAGTAGTAGTAGTAGTAGTAGTAGTAGTAGTAAGCACTCCGGCTCAGCTGTGTCCCAGCAGCGGGGCTTATAGTTGTGGAGATGTAGCATCTATGCCATGGAGCGAACCTTGCGGTGGAGTCCGGCTCCGAAACGTGATGATCACAGTCCTATAGTGCAGCGAGCCGCACTAGCGCTACTGTTGACGCTCGCCAGCTGGGTGCCTTTTGGCCCCAACAAAGGGCGCATGGGTCGACTGAAAGCCTTTGCCCCTGGCTTGCCAACGCGTCAGTCTGAAGCTAGCCCCGTTGCAAATGCGTGTTTACCAGCAGCTAGGAGTTGGGGCAACTTTTCCTGCAGTTGGTGCAAGCAAGAGGTCGATGCCGCCTGCATTTTTTCTGGGTGCGCGCCGTCAGGCTGCCCCATTGAGAGCACGCTCGTCGGCTGGGTGCCTCTTGGCCCCCACAAAGGGCGCATGGGTCGACTGTGTGCCTTTGGCCCTGGCCATCCCTGGCCTGCCAACGCGGCAGTCTGGCACCATTGCAAGTGCGTGGCTACCAGCGATCAGGAGTTGGCGCAACTTTTCCTGCAGCTGGCGCAAGCATGACGTGGCTGCCACCCGCATTCCTCCTGGGCGCGCGCCGTCAGGCCGCCCCATTGAGCGCATAGTGCCACACCTCCTTATAGATAGCCGGCCCGGTCCCAAGTCCGGGGTGGGATGCCGACTGACGACTCTACTTATATTGCTACATTGTCAGGTGTCCCACAGTGTGAGGGTTCCAGCTCTTTCCGTTGGAGCTGGGGAAGGCAACTCCCTTGCCTATCAGCGACGACTTCAGGTGCCGAAGCTAAACGGAGTTCAGGTCACAGATGGGAAGCAGGGACCTACTCACAAGTGGAACCGATGTGTCAAGAGATCCTTTATGCCAGCTTGCAATAGAGCTACTCGACATTGCCAAGCGAAGCCCTTGTGCCTGTGTACCTCTAGTTCAGATACCCGAGGAGCGTGTAGCTGCAGATCATCGCTGCCTTGTCCCGAATGCTGACCGACTGCCGGCGGCGGCAACCTACCCTATCCTCGGATGGGATGGCCCGCGCTGGGCCCCGGCCCCACGTATGCTTCGAGATGTGGTCTGGGTTTTGACGTTACGTCCTTCCGGGTCACAGTTTATAAGTGCGAGAAAGCTGTGTTCTGGCGATGCTCTGCGGCCAGACCTTTCTTGGGTACTGAACTACACGGTCCCCAGTGTGCCCTCCACGGGCCACTTGCAGTTCACAGGACTACAGGGCGCTGAACGTGGTCCTCAGTGCGCCCTGTTGGGGCCACTTGCAGTTTCATAGGACTACAGGGTGCTGTGCGTGGTCTTCAGTGTGCCCTCCTGGGGCCACTGCAGTTCTCAGGACTGCGCTTTGTGCAGAGAAACACCATGATGAATGCAAGATGCCATAACAGATGGCTGTAGCGATGTCGATAGCTCTACGACCTGTTTTCATGTTTTACGTTTTCGCTTTCTACTTATCTGATTTTGCACTCTTTTGATCGAGTGAAGGGTGCACTGGTGCACCATTCTCTTGACAAGTTGAGTAGGCCGCAAGTTTGCAGCTATTCGTAGCGGGACTTGCCCATGTGGTTCTAGTGCTCTTGAAGCACCGGTGCAATGCGCTGCCACGCACCTGACGCTAAGCTGAGAGACCGGCTGCGATTGGAATGAATGAATGAATAGTAGTAGTAGTAGTAGTAGTAGTAGTAGTAGTAGTAGTAGTAGTAGTAGTAGTAGTAGTAGTAGTAGTTGTTGTTGTAGTTGTAGTAGTAGTAGTAGTAGTAGTAGTGGAGGAGGAGAAGTAGTAGTAGGAGTAGCACCAGTTCGCGCGAATGGCCAGAGCATCCATGCCCGCACGATGATAACGTCCATGCTTCCAGTCCGTGCGAATGGCCAACATCCATGTTACCAATCCGAAACGCGGCGGCTGCGCCTTATTTTGGCTGAGGATAAGGACCTGGCCCTCATTCAGGTGGAGGATAAGCAAACGTGTCAGGTCGAGGATAAGCAAACGTGGCGGTTGCGCCTTATTCTGGTCGAGGATAAGGGCCTGGCCCCCCGGCTGCGCCCCATTCTGGCTGAGGACCTGGCCCCCATTCAGATTGAAGATAAGCAAACGTGGCGGCTGCGCCCCATTGTTTTTTCATGATAAGCGCCCTCATTCAGGTTGAGGATAGGCAAACCTGGTGGCTACGCCTCATTCTGGTCGAGGGTAAGGACCTGGCCCTCGGCTGCGCCTCATTCTGGCCGAGGATAAGGACCTGGCCCCCAGTCAGAGCAAACGTGGCGGCCGCGCCCCATTGTGGTTGAGGGTAAGAACCGCCCCTCCGTGAGGATAGGGAGGTGGCCGTCATGCAGGTTGAGGATAAGCAAACGTGGCGGCTGCGCCTCAGTCTGTCTGGTCGAGGATAAGGACCTGGCCCCCATTCAGTTTGCACGGTGTGACAACATATGTTCGGTGTTGTGTGCGCGTATGGTCCGTGGCAGGGCGAATTACCAATCCGAAATGCGGCGGCTGCGCCTCATTTTGGCTGAGGATAAGGACCTGGCCCTCATTCAGGTGGAGGATAAGCAAACGTGTCAGGTTGAGGATAAGCAAACGTGGCGGTTGCGCCTTATTCTGGTCGAGGATAAGGACCTGGCCCCCGGCTGCGCCTGGACCTGACCCCCATTCAGATTGAAGATAAGCAAACGTGGCGGCTGCGCCCCATTTTTTAAGGATAAGCTGGTGGCTGCGCCTTACTCTGGTCGAGGATAAGGACCTGGCCCTCGGCTGCGCTTCATTCTGGCCGAGGATAAGGACCTGGCCCCCAGTCAGGCTGAGGTAAGCAAACGTGGCGGCCGCGCCCCATTGTGGCTGAGGATAAGAACCACCCCTCCGTGAGGATAGGGAGGTGGCCCTCATGCAGGTTGAGGATAAGCAAAGGTGGCGGCTGCGCCTCAGTCTGTCTGGTCGAGGATAAGGACCTGGCCCCCATTCAGTTTGCGCGGTGTGACAACATATGTTCGGCGTTTGTGCTCGTATGGTCCGTGGCGGGGCGAACGGAGCGGACGAACGGACGGGCTCCATTCAGGTTGAGGATACAAACGTGGCGGCTGCGCCCCATTCTGGTTGAGGATAAGCGCCTGGCCTGTCATGAGGATAAGGACCTGGCCCCCATTCAGGTTGAGGATGCACAAACGTGGCGGCTGCGCCGGGGGGGTGGGAAGCCCCAACCAAAAGCGCGAGCGGCGGCCGGGCGGGCAGGCGCGGCGGCGGGCGTCGGGCGGCGGCGGCGGCGGCTGGCGGCAAGCAAGAGAAAAACAAGAACCGCGCAGTGATGTGGGGAAAAAACTGGGGAGCAGAAAAACAACATGCCCAACAGCATGGACATGGGACAGGGCGGGACAAACACAGAGTA